TTATTGGTACGAAATGGGTGTTCCGTAACAAACTTGATGAAAATGGAATAATCACTAGAAACAAAGCTAGGCTCGTAGCTAAAGGCTACAATCAAGAAGAAGGCATTGATTTCGAAGAAACTTATGCACCTGTAGCACGTTTAGAAGCTATTCGTTTACTTCTTGCTTTTGCTTCGTCTATGGATTTTAAACTTTATCAAATGGATGTTAAGAGTGCCTTCCTCAATGGTTTTATTCAAGAGGAAGTGTATGTTGACCAGCCCCCGGGGTTTGAGGACTTTGAGTTTCCCGATCACGTCTTCAAACTCAAGAAAGCGCTCTACGGTCTTAAACAAGCACCACGTGCTTGGTACGAACGTTTGAGTAAATTTCTTTTGGATAGTGGTTTCCAAAGGGGAAAGGTTGACACTACACTTTTTATCAAGAGTAAAAACAATAACATCCTTTTGGTTCAAGTTTATGTAGACGACATTATATTCGGTGCTACTAACGAGTCTTTGTGCAAGGAATTCTCAACGTTCATGACAAGCGAATTTGAGATGTCCATGATGGGTGAGCTTACATTCTTTTTGGGACTCCAAGTCAAGCAAATGAAAGATGGCACATTCATTTGCCAAACCAAATACTGCAAAGAGCTCCTAAAACGATTCGAAATGGAAAACGCCAAAGCAATGGCGACCCCGATGAGCACGTCCGACCACCTAGACAAAGACGAAAAAGGTAAGGAAGTTGAAGTAAAAAAGTATCGAGGTATGATCGGATCCCATCTTTATCTTACTGCTAGTAGGCCGGATATCATGTTTAGCGTATGCCTTTGCGCAAGGTATCAATCATGCCCGAAGGAATCGCACTCAACGGCGGTGAAACGGATCATGAAATACCTTGTAGGCACGGTTAATGTTGGACTGTGGTATCCTAAAGGCTCCTCGTGTCATCTTGTTGGTGAAAGGTAACCATGAGAGGATAGGCAGCGGAATATAAAAATTTTAACATCCTAACATGATTATCTTGCCCAGAATCACGTACTAAAACTTATAGTGAGTAAGAAATTTATACCTTTCTCCGTAAGCGGTAAAAACGAAGAAGTCGTAGGAATAGCGTTGAAAGTGCAAACGTAACCGTTCAAGCGTCCGGTCTCCAACTTTGACACACGAACAACGCCAGAGTCTACCACAATCTTTATGCTAGTAAACATTATAGTAGTATAAAATATAAAGATTAAAATTTGGGATAATAATAATCTTGTATATTTCTATAGAAAATATTTCTAATAATATTTAAAAAATATTATAGATATTTTCTATACACAAAATGATATTAATGGAACCAAAATATTATTTTCTCACACTAGAAAATATTATGCCCGAATCATACATATCAACCATGGCCTAATCTCACACCATTTATTTTGAAAGTGGCGTGCCAAAAGTGTAAATAAAAACAAATGATTAATTTCACTTTGTCATTAACTAAATGACAAAACATAATTAGCTCCACTAACTTCAATCAAGGAAATTTGATTCTTTAAAATCTCCACTTCCGTATGATGATATGAGAAGGATATTTGAAATTCTTCTCCACTAAAATGTTCAATGTGTATTTTATTTGACACCAAAAATTAATATAAAATTAATTTTAAATCAAATAAAAATACCAATATCATTTTTAAACAAGTATACAAATATACTTTAAATAGTTTATGTCAAAATAATTATTTTCATAATTAAAATGACAAACCAAAATAAAATATTCAATATATAATATATATATATATATTAATCGGTACATATATATAATATATATATATATAACCGAATATTTATATATATATATATAATATTATATTCCAAAATATTTTATTTTACTATTTTTTACAAATATACAAATTACTTATTATCCCATTGTTTAATCTTACTCCTTAAATTGTCCAAAGTGTGTGACCCGTATAGGCACTTATAAAACTGGCCACAGTATTGGCTCTGCACCAATACTATAAGCAATAAGCGGTATCTAGCAACACATTATTGCCCCCAGATTATAAGTTAAGACGTTTGCACCATCAAAACCTTTCCACGACTCAGACTCCGTGTAAATGTATCCTTTGTCTCAATGTCTAAACTTAATGCAAGGGATTAATAAAATCCAGCTTGTATCCATTAAGTCATTCACTGATTTATCAAGTCGGAATAATAGGAACAGACGTCATAAAAGCATCTTAGCATGGCCATGCAGTTTTCTCAATCATGACTTATCAGTGGGCCCCATAAGACATTAATCTCTTTAAAAAGAGTAGTGGCAAATCCTATGTACGTAATCTACGTTTCTGAATACGCGCTGCGGCATACCCAAAACAAAGCCTGTATACCATCCTTATTTCATATGGCTTAGGACAATGCATCAAAGTATGCGGGTTCACATATGCAGAAAACGTAATACTTCAAGTCGAAGGATAGTTACACCCGTGGTCGCACTAAAGATGCTTAGAGCATGAACTAAAAGTTCAAGCAACATCTTTAGGATGGGTCAGTCCGGCATCCTATTATCTCTAGATAATATCTGCCCATGTGCGGATGCGAACACACCGTCATTGACTATGAGACTAAGTCAAACATCCAACACACACTAGTCTCACATGCATTAACGATATCCCACTCTCGTTAATACTCGACTATGGACATTTAGATAAATATTTATTTCAAGATGTTAGTCTCATCAGCAGAA